TGGTTAGGGTTAGGTGAGGGCTGAGGGATTGGCATGTATCTGTGTGGTTAGTTTTAGGTAAGGGTTTGGGGTCAAGCATTTATGTGTGGTATCTGTGTGTATTTGTAAAGTACTGTTGTAATCTTTAATGGGACTAAAGTATGTTAATTTKAAGGAAAAGTTCAAGGGGTTTGATCAGCATTTGTGATTCTGGATGTGTTAGATATGTGTGTGGTTGAGGCTAATCTTCGTGGAAGACTCCTGAGGCCCAGGAGTCTCCATTCACAGAGTGCTTTTCCTTTAGGCGCAAACCTTGGAAGGCGAATTGTACCCCTGGTTTCAAAAACACACTGACCGTTAACACCGCTAGGTGAAACCAGTATGCCCAGCAAGCTTGAAGCGATTTTACTGATTCTCCTTTGGCTGGTGTCTTGTAGGTTCGAGGTGTCTCTCCCAYGTTTCTAAGAAGGACACTTCTGGGTCTCTGGAGGTCCCTCTGCTGGTGGTTCTTGGTGATATTCTCTGATCATTGAAGTTGAAGGTGGGCAAAGGTAATCTTTTTAGCACAGGGAAAGCTCTTAAAAGAGCTTTTTTGATTTCATTGTTGTTCCTTCTGGTCAAGCCTGGATGAACTGTCGGGATCTTGTTTCAGAGTTGTCCCACGCTGGGTCCAGGGTCAGGCTGTTGAAATGACCGGGAAATGAATGGAAGCCAAATGCAAAGTCCCCATGAGTACAGAAGAACAAACGTGTGTGTGTGTTTGTCTCTGATGGGTGATTGGATGAAGAGCTGTGACCAGCAGTGATGTCACTTCCTGTGAGCAGCTTCAAAGAAACAAAAAGTAAAGGCAGCTTCCGCTCTTCTTTTCTTAGCTGTGACAGAAATAGCAGCAGTCAGGCTGGAGTGTGTTTCAGCCGTCAGTCAGCCCGAGCTGCACAGCTGCTCTCACACACACAAAGATGGAGGCTGAGATATGGAGGAGCTGGCTGGGGGAGGGGCAGAGGTGAGGCAGAAAGACGCACAAAGTTTTTGTGTGATGTTTTTTCACCGTGGGGACAGGGGGCCACGGTGATACAATCCTATAGAGGCGTCGTACAAAAACCTCCTGTCGTTAACAGGCTGTGTGTCAACGGCTGCATGAAGGTCAGGACGCCTGTCAGAGCAGAAACATCTCCCATCTGAAGGTGTGCAGGGTGCTGGGACACTTTGGCTTTAACAAGTCATTATGGACACACAAATTATACTGAAATACAAGTTTTTATTTCAAACAGGCAGCGTTTGGAGAACGAGTCAGATGTGTTAAAACTACAAAACAACTGGGACATTGTGAGGCTCAGYCTGCATGTTCAAAGCTTCTCCATCATCTGGACCACTGAAATGTGTCAGAACAMGATGGTTGTGGAAAGTTTGGAGACTTTTTGGTGGAGGAGACACTCAGTGTGACACTGGATCTGAAGCTTACTTTGGAAAAGGAACAAAACTCACTGTTTTGGGTAAGTTGGGTTCAGATCACCTCTTCAGTTTAAAGTAGAGAAAACGTTCAGATCTTAGTGAAAAAGTAAAGAAAAAGTTAAAAAGTAAACTGCTGTATTTAAAACGATGACATATTGAGCTGAACTCACAACACTGTGACCTACACTGAGCCTGCTTATTTCGGCCAAGGAACCAAACTGACAGTTTTAGGTAAATATTTCACTTCAACGTTGTGTTTTTCATGGATAAAACTTTGCTTTAAGTCTGATTTCAACTAAAAGTATTGGTCTAAATGTTTTAAAGAGAAATAAGAGTTACATGTTCAGTATTGCTGCGCTGTGACAACATGAACGAAGCTTACTTTGGAAAAGGAACAAAACTGACTGTTTTAGGTGAGTGAAGAAAGATTCAAATGAAACCAGTGAAACTAAATCTTTAAATATAAAGGTTGTTTAAAGAGTCAGAATATATGTCAGTATTTATACTTTAAGTTCAGCTCAGTACTTTTTGATATTAAGATGAAGGGCTGTGCCAATTACGAAGCTTATTTCGGTCAGGGAACGAAACTGACAGTTCTGGGTAAGTGAAACGTTTTTCAGACCAAATCTTTTTAACACTGAAAACATCCAACAGCAGCTAAATGTTAGCATGTAAAATCAGAGCACTGGGATGATTTTAACTCTGCTTATGAACACTGTGCCTCTGGTTTTAACGAAGCTTACTTTGGAGCTGGAACAAAGTTAAC